GGAAATAAATCGCATGTTTATTTTAGATCTGTGTGGCAGCAGCAGTAAATAAATCGATAAATCCACTGCTCTCTTGTCTCCTCTGAGGCTGGGACTTTAAATAGTGCTCTGTGCTCGTCTGTGCAGCCAAAGATAGAATAGTTAGCATGTTTTGCTCAAACTTTCGCCATGGCATTAAAACTAGTACACCGTTGTCGCTTACGAAAACACAATAAAGGTGCCGTGGGTGTAAATTTACAGATTAAGGGGCAGTAATATTATAATGAGATCCCTTTGCCACGTCACCAAGGGAGCGAAATCAGACACGCTCGTTTTCTCAGACGCTTGCAGAAAAAGGCTTCCCAAAACAAAGTTACTGGGTTAAACTTTTTCACGTTTCCTTGGTTGGTAGATGCACTGGGGACCTGATTATAGCACCTAAAACCTGGAAAAGTCAGATTTTCATGATATGTCACCTTTAATGTATCTAATTATGCATGATTGATAGGTACACAATATTTAAAAAATGATCATACTATTTCATCAAAACGGCTTAACAGTTTTGTCCAAAATGGCTGATGGAATCAAAGCTATGTAGGCAGGGAAAAATAAACATTAGTATCACACTCTAATATTTCATGATCTAATCAAACTCAAACATATAAAAGTCCTGTCGCTCTTGGTATCATTTGGAAAACATCGTATTAAATGGGTCATGAATTGAGAAATCAAATTTTCCTCGATCATTTGACATGTAAGAGGTCATTGTACTATAAAAACATCCTGAAAGTTTCAGAGCTCAAATCTTTCTCTAGTTAGTCTAAAAACAGCTTTTATTGAAACCAAGTGGTTATTTACCAATATAACCAAGTGGTTATTTATTTTCAACTATGCTGATGTCTCAGTAGAGCATTATTTGTTTGTTCGGTACATTTCACTGTGGATTCTTAGGCAAATCATTTGCAGTTTCAGGTGCAGACTTTGCAAACAGACTTTTACTGTAAGATATGGACCTGACAAGTAATACCACAACATGTAAGTAACCGTGTTCATTCTAATGCCTAATCTGTTATCAGTTATTTCTGATTTGTAATGATTCATGTACAGTCAGATGTTCTTTGTCTCAAAAATCATTTAATGCTGTTTATGCGTCAGTAAATCAAGCCAGTGACTTATTGGTCAGCTACACATTGTTTCTTTCTGTAGCATCTTAGTAGAATCTCTTATTTACATCATGTTTGCATTATTAGTTATAATGAAAACATTCTTGAGTGCAAAACTCGAGTTGCAATGACGAGATCACTGCATCCTTGCACTCAACAGTCTTGTCATCTGCTACAATTAACTTTTCATGCAATGGGAGTAGATCTAAATATAATGCTATAATCAAAACTTTTCATGAATAGTTAATCTCAACAGCTGTAATAGTAAAAAAACAAAAACAAAAAAAAAAACATAGTCAAAGTTTTTGAGAGAGCTCCACATGTAATACTTATTTCATATGATAGCCAATCATAGCAGTGGGCATTTACACTGAGGTCTCACAGCAGACACGCCCCTTCCACCAGAGCGTTCAAATCAGAGGGCTAAAATCAGGGTAGAAAATGACCTTTTATTTCAAAATTATGACAATTTTTGATGTAAAAATACATTATAAGTGCACCTCAGGAAACATTATGAAATAATTTAAAAATGCATGACTTCTTTAAAGGGGCCATGAACTGCCTTTTTATTATTTTGTACTGTTCTCTGAGGTCCACTTATAACATTATCAAGATTTTTACATCAAAAAACATCATAAT